AAATATATAGCTTAATAATAATATTATTACTGACCCTTTTACTATCAAATCCTATATTCAACAACACTTTGATAATTGGACTGCACTCTGTCATATTAACTCCAACTTATTCAACTTCCAATGGCAATCTGAATATAATCTGAAAACCAACATCAACCCTACCTGGTATTCCAATACCTTTTTATCCTTTACTGAATAAGAAATTATAGCTATAATCAGCTAGCTTCCTAATAACAAAGCTTGCGGCCTATTGGGCATTAGCTACGAAATATTCAAACATGCAGGCTCTATATTTATTACCTCAATAACTGCACTTTTTAATCGCTATCTCTCCTCTCAAACTATTCCTAAATAATAAAAAAAAAACTGCATCTTTTCTATTTTCAAAAAATTCATTTTTAATAGCAACCTTTGCAATACCAGACCTATTAGCTTGATCAAACACATAAAAAAGCTATATACTAAACTTCTCACTAACCACCTTAATCTTCTTTTTTTCCAACATAATATTTTGTTATCTTTTAACTTTGTTGCATATCCTGGCAACTCAACTTCTATCTCTATTCACATCCTTAACAATATTATCAATGATGCTAACTTTAATTCCAACCAACTTTGGCTCTTTTCTCAAAACATGAGTAAGGCCTATGACTTTGTTAACTTTGAACTCTTCCAAAAATCACTATATCATATTCAAATTCCCTAGCAACTTATTAACATTTTAACTAATCTACTATTTGATTATACTAATCATGTTATTACAAATCTTGGGCTTACCAATTTTTACTCTGTTAAAAATGGTATTGACCAATGAAAAACAATTGCACCCCTTTTCTGAAGAATCTACTATAACCTTCTTATCTCATATATCTCCTCACATTTTTTAGGCTATACACTTTCTACTTCCTGACAAACTAGTCTTATTAATCCTTCTTCCAACTATCTTAGTACCTCTATATTTGTTCTTGCCTATATGGATAACACTCTATAAATTGCTCAATCCAAATCACAACTAGAAGAAATTACTAGTATCACTTCCTCCTTCTATTTAATAGCCGATATCCAAGTCAACTCTACTAAATCTATATTTATTACTAAACAAAGCTCTGATAATATTATATTTCTCAACTTTATTTTTCATTCCATTCTACTTTAGCAAACTTTTAAATTCTTGGGTTGCTGGTTTACTCTTAACAACAAACAAACTTCACAAATTAAACTTATCCAAGATGAAGCTATTTAACTTGCTAATATCACTAGTACCAAAAATATAACTAACAAATAAATAACCTATATTATTAATACTGTTATTATTTCAACTATCAAATATTGACTTCACAATATTGTAATTCCTTTATCTACATACAACAAAATTCTTGGAAAATACCTTACTATAGCTAAGCACAAAGCACACCTTTCTTGCTCTACTTCCAACAGTACTCTTCTTAATCACAATCTCTATAATATCTACAATATTTGGGATATTCAACTTCAATATCATATCAGTAACTTTCTAAACTATATTAACAACTCTTCAACCCTTGGTACCAATACTCACATTTACTTTTAACAACTACAAAATAATCTTTGGTCTACTACCAATATTTTTTAACACTTCCACCCTATTATTGATTGTCCCAATAAGCATTCCACTATATTTAAAATTATACAACTCTTTAACTATTTCCAGATCTCAATACATGCATTCTTCAACTCATCCTGGCCCAAAACTATAAATAACAGTAATTCTTCTCTTGAAAATACTCTATCAAACTACCCCAAATACAACACTTTTAAACAACAACTTCGATACAAAAATATACTATATCTTGAGCAACTTTACTCATCAGATAACAATACCCTTCTTAATTGGTTATATCTATCTCCCAGACTTCTACACATTCCAATTGGCAAAAAACTACTTTGGTTTACTTATCTAGAAAATACTATTTTTGAGAACAACTATCACTGCACTATTTTACTCCATCTTCAATCTACAGACATTAACCGATTTGCATACCAAACTAACACTCTTCCCAAATCTTACAAACTCTGGGTTTTAACTTTTCACAATAAAGATATTATTATTAGACAAATTCACAAAACCTTTATTCACACTAACACTATATCTATAACATACTAGCAATATAACATTGATATCTCTACTTCCTATTGTTATCCTCTACCTTCTATCTCCTGCACCTCCTATAAAGGTTGCAATCTTAACTTAAATCACATATCTAGCTACTGTACTCTAGAAGTATCTGCCATTCTTTCTACCTATTTTTTAGAAAGGAAAAAAGCTAACAAACAACTCAACTTCAATGCTAACTATATTGATCTTATTCGCTTTACTGAAATAAAACATCCTACCAATTTATCTTCACCCTCTACTATTAATATTAATATAACTGACTCTTCTATTCTTACAATTTTTCACAATAGTAATGCCTCTGCAAAACTTACTACAATCTCATTATCTAACTTATTCTAACATTATTTTATCTTCTATACTGATGGTTCTGTTAAACAACTTGGCACTAACTAATATTCAATAGGTATAGACTAGGTCCAAGTTGACAACAACAAAGTTACTCATAGCTTCTCTGCTCAAATTTCTAACTGACTATCTTTTATAAAGCAGAACTACTTGCAATACTATTAGCTATTTCTACTTTTTCTCACAACTCAACTATCAATATCTTTACTGATCCACAATCTGTTATTTCTAAGTACAACAAACTTCAAGCTTTATCATCTCAGTCTCCAAACAGTTTAAGTTCAATGCCTGGCCTATCTAGTATATACTTCTTAATATTCTTAAGTCTTTTAATATCCAACTCACCTTTTACAAAATTCAAGCCCATTCTGATAACCCTTTTAACAACCTTGCTAACTTATTTGCAAACAACCATTCTACCTTACCAACTCTATATTTTAATTATACTAATCTGTATAACCCTTTCTCTATTTTGCAATAGAACAAAAGCCCTATTGAAAGCCTACTAGACAATTTATTAAATCAATTTGCAATACACAAAATATTGCCTTGTGGTTCTCACAACATTGTGCTTATAAATAGTCTCACTTCTCTTACTTAATTGACTGAAGAGCCTCATGAATATTTTTTAATAACAACAAAAAAGTATTATACAACTTCATAAACTCTAAACTAAACTATCTAAAATCTTTTAAAATCAAAATGCTTCTTAATATCCTTCCAACACATACATATCTTCACTCTATATACCCCTCTATATTTATATCTTCTAACTGCTTCTCATACAACTGCACTGATACCCTTCCTACTAGTACTTCTGCCCTAATAACACCTCTTTAACCCAAGCTATCAATACCTTAATATATGATATTATCTTTAATGCCAATCTTAACCTTCTGACATACCAACTTAATAACTTAATACATACTATCACCTTATATCCTGCCTTTAACTCCTCTCCATTACAGCTATACCCCTACTCTCTACACTCCACACTAAAAGGTCTTATACCTATTACTCTAATTCAATCTTTAGACCCTTTTGAAATTTCTTATTCACAAGCTTCCTAACTTATTATTAAAACACTTTTAAAAATCTCTGACCAACTTTATAATAATATTTGGATTCCCTACTGCTTTCACTTTTCTTACTAGAAAAGAGCTTATCAAATCTCATCACAAATCAATACCATACCCCACACCTCACTACCTTTTAGAAATCACTGAAATAGAATTATAGTTGCTCTTGTGGCTTCGCTAACTACTTATATTTAGAATCTAACACATGCTTTCTACTAGGACAGGCTTCTTTTAAATACAATATTTGATCCACTATGTGAATTAAATATAACATCTATTAATCATATCTTAACTATCCAAATCTAGATGAGTCTTGACTACTCTAGTAGGTTTAGGTCACAGATAAATTAGTCTAAGCTTTTATTCTTGCATGTAATTTATATTTATTTATTTGTATACAAATTGAGTTTTTATATAGTTTCTATGTAACTACTTATATAAATTATTTAATAAAGATATGAGCAAGACCTCACCTTAATACCAAAAAAAAAATAATAAAATTATAATATTATGAGTAGTAAGTCTAATTTTTTTTTCTATATTTTTACTAAAGAAAATTATCATATACATTTTATATTTCTTCATTTTTTTTAAAAATTTTTCATAATAAGCTACTATATTTGTACACTTATGTTTATTTACATATATTACTTTTCTAACCTCTAAATATTTAAACCCAAATGTTTTTAGCTACTTTCTAGTTGTTCTTATACGTATTGTTAGTAATAGAGCAAAACAAAGGCCTAAAAATATTTTTTTATTTACATGCTTAGCTAATTTATTTGTATTAATATACCACTTGTTTGATTGAAAAAAGAATTTAATTTGTATCAAAACATTATTATCCTATAAGGAATTCTAGATTTTGTAGTGTTTAAAATCAAAATTGTTCTATTTAAAATATAATTTATTGTCTATAAACATATATATTAAGCATAATAAGCATCTTTTTTAGCTGTTTCTACTACAATAATACTTGCTTTAACTCTTTGTTAGCTATGTTCTACAAGATATAAATAAATCAGTATTGTATAAAAATAAGCCTTTTCAATCTTACTATATTTATTGTTTTTGATTTTTTCTTTTAATTGTTGAATTGTATTGTTCAAGATTTTAGAAGATATTATATTATAGTCTTTTATAGCCTCAACCTCAAAATTATTTTCAAAGTTACTGTCTGAACCAATTGGTTTATTATTTGTATCTTCATTATTATTTATATATATATCTACTCTCTATTCAAAAAAATAATAATTCTATAAATATTAAAGCACAATTTACAACTATATTATCAATAAATAATAAAAAAATAGCTGCCAGTAATTAAAATAATTCTAATTTAGATGTTCTAACTGCAGCTTATTATAATAATTTTTTTGTTGCCTTTTTGTTTTTTCTGAATTTTTAATATACACAAGTAGCTAATTATTGGTTACTTCCAAAACTGCTTGAAACAGCTTTGTAATTATGTTATTTGCTTCTTTATCTTTTAAAACAATTATTTCTATATCACCATCCTCAATATTACTAAGTTTATTACTAGTACTATAGGTTTTTGAAGCTTTTATTCAATATAGGTTTTT